AAAACTTTTGTTCACTGAAAGTCACTGTTAAGAGAAGTAAAAGACAAGTGACAGCCTGGGAGGAAATATTCATAAAACATATCTGACAAAAGACTTGTATTCAGAATATGTAAAGAATTCTCAAATTCAACAATATGAATAAAAGCAAACCAATTAAAAAGTGGGCAACAGATCTGAGCAGGCACTTCACCGAAGATATAAGGACAGAAGACAATGTTCCACATTATCAGCCATTAGGAAAATGCAAATTAAAACCATGCCACTACATACCTACTCAAATGGCTAAAATAAAAAATACTGACAATACCAAGTGCTGGTCAGGATACAGAGGAATTGAAACACTCATACATTGCTGGTGGGAATGCAAAGTGGTACAGCCACTCTGGAAAATAGTTAGGCAGCTCCTCATAAAGCTAAATATATACTTATCACATGACCCAACAATCCCACTCCTATTTACCCTACAGAAATGAAGACTCATGTTCACATAAAAAGCTGTACACAAATGTTTATAGCAGCTCATTCATAATGGCCGCAAACTGGAAACAACTCAAATATCCTTCAACAGAGGAATAGTTAAACAAAGTGTAGTACATCCAGCCAATGGAATATTCCTCACCAATTTAAAAAACAAAACAAAAACTAAAAATACATGCAACAACTTGGATGTATTTCAAAGGCATTATGCTGTGTGAAAGAATCAAGTATCAAAAGGTTATATATTACATGAGACCACGTATGACATTCATGAAAAGACAAAGCCATAGTGATGAACAGCTCAGTGGTTGCGATGTGACGGGGGTGAGACCTGAGGGAGTTTTTTGGTATGATGGAACTGTTTTGTAATTAATTGTGGTGGTGGCAACACAAGTCTAGTTACATACTAAAATTGGTATAGAACTGTAAACCCAAAGGGGGAGAAACCCCATTTACTGTATGATAATTTTTAGATTAAAAAATTAAATAATGAAGATGGACTTATCTGGTTTTACACAAATAAACTTCACGGCCTAAGCTACCTCAGGACAACTTCCTGTATAATGAGAGGTTTCTGGTTTGAAAGAGCATGAGACTGGCAGCCCCTGATATAACCTCTCCAAAATTCACTCTAAACTTTGAAAACAGAGAAAAATGATAAAACTCACCAGATTACATAGAATTAAGAACTACCAGCATCCAAGTTGGATTCTGAAAGGATTTTCCACATGATCAAGGGAACTGAGTTAGTCAATGAAATTAGGGGCCCTTCTGTGCTAAAGACACATCAAAATTGGTGGAAAGATCTTTCTTCCCAACCACATTATCTCCTCGTCATGTCTTTGCAAACAAGAAAGCTAGGCATCTATTTCTTTGCTCTTTTGGAACTACTCCACAGCCAGAGTGCTGTTCGCATCTCATTGCCAGTCAGACACGGCATCTCTCAAAAAATAACTACTTAGCAATGAGCACTGGGACTGCTGCATGTTATCAGGACAGAGCAAGCTAGGTACACAAAGGCAGGAGCAGGAAGAACCTAGAAATTCAATGTGAGGATTACAGTGTTCCTTGTACTCTTTCTGTTCAGATATGAGAGAATCAAGCAGAGATGAGGAGAGAAGCCCACCTTATTTTAGGAGGGCTGAACTACATTAGCTGACTGGTCTCTGGAAACTGCTCCAAGGTTTGTATCTTGGATCTCAGATCCAAGATAGGGGACCTGAGAGGTGGATATGACCAATACCCCCCTGATGGATAATGAGGCAATGGTCAAAGCCACCTGGTTTGTATCCTTGGCTCCACTACTTACTAGTTGTGTGACCTGGGAAAAGCCATTTACTCTTTCCGTGCTTCATATGTATAAAGAGAATAATAGTGTTTTTCTCATGGTGAGGATTAATAAATTAATATAGTAAAGCTTATAGCAGTGATTTTTCCTTCACTCTATACTATTCTCCCCGCCCACGGTATGTATTTTATCCTATCTACTCATAGTTAACTCAGAAGAGATTAATTTAGAGGACTATATGATAATAATCCCTAACATTTATATGGTACAGTGTTATACCAGAACACCTCAAAAATCAAATTACTGAAAATCACTAATAGGAAAAAATCTTAAAAGTAGCCAAAAAACCCCACAAAAACCAAAAACAGTTCAGAGGAACAGAAATAAGAACTATAGCATAATTCTTGTCAGAAACTATGTAGGGTGGAATACAATAGAACATCTTTAAAGTGATGGGGAAAAATAAGCCCTGTCAACCTTGAATTCTATAACCAGCAAAACTATATTTCAAAAACGAAGGTGAAACATAGATTGTTCAGGCCAACAAAGCTGATAAAATTTATTGCCATACTCAGCACATGGATGCTATTATTATCGTTATCACCATCATCATTTATCACCCACATTCCTAAAACATAAGATTCAAGACAGGGATGCCTATCATACCACTATTATCTAATAATATTCTGAAATTTCTACCCAAAATATTATGAGAAAAAAACAAAAATAAAATGTCTTAACTACTGATGTGATTGTGTGCTTAGAAACTAAAAAACAAAACAAAACTTAGAAATGTTAGAATAATAGGGTTCAATAAGGGAGACTATTTGAAAACAATCATATTTCAACAACTGTCATGTATATTATCAACAATTATAAAATATAAATAAAAAGAAAATCCTACTCATAAAAACAACCAAAGAATTTTAAATTCCCAGAAAAAACCTTAGAGCCCTCTATAATACAAATAAAAATCTTTACTGAGAACCATTTTGTTTGGTTTTTTTTAAAGTGGTAATTGACACTTAACTACAGTGATGAAACTTCATCTATCCCTACAAACCTGCTTCAAGTTTGGACCCTGAGTCCTTACAAAATCATGGAGGGGTGCCTGGGTGGCTCAGTCAGTTAAGCATCTGCCTTCAGCTCAGGTCATGATCTCAGGGTCCTGGGATTGAGCCCCACAGGGAAAAGCAGGCCCCCTCTGCTCCTCCCTACTGCTCGTGCTCTTTCTTTCTCAAATAATAAATCTTAAATAAAATAAAATAAAATCATGGAGTCTCATAACTCCCTCATCTCCCTCCCTGCACGAAGTTTCTCCAGAATGCAAAGAGAGATACAGAAGAAGAATACATTCATTTGTGCATCCAGCACCCAGAAAATTTCCTCACACAGAGTAAGTACTGAAATATTGGATAGATGGATGGAATGAGTGAACGAATTATTTATGCCCCAACTATGCCCATCTCTCCTAGAACCAGCCTGGGTTGAAAGCAAATGTTGTGGATCTTTGGGCCCAGAAAAAGCTCCTCAGAATTGACTCATTCCATCATGCCCAGGATACAAGAGCACTTCTAGGATCAATCCAGTTCCTCCTGATAAAAGATGAATGGAAATAGAAACTTTTTTTTTTCTTATTGCACGGAGATGCATGTATTACATTGAGGTCTTATCTTCTGAAACTGAAAGAAAGGTCCTATACTTTATCAGTGGATTCATGGATTTTCATTGGCATGACTTTGAGGTTGCAGTTGCCCAAGTTCAACTAGGATATTTTATATTTTGGCATAAAAATATCCTAAAATGTAGGAATGGTGCTCTTGATCTACTCTTAAAAGATCCTGAAACATTTTCATTTTGGGGAGCAGGGAGGAGGTTGTTTCAACAACTTTCACCAGTTTTTCAGCAAAATATTTATGGAGGATTTATTTTCTTATTAGATGTTGGGAATACAGCAAGAAATGTTCCTATTCTCTTAGGGCTTCCATTCAAGTATGGGTGATGAGACAATCATCCAGCAACTAAATAAATGAACTAAATATTTACAGAGAGTGATACACACTGTGTGGACACTAATAGGGTAATGAAATCTAACCGGAGATTTAATTCAGCAACTTGTGTTCTTCCCTGACTGATCTTCAAGTTTGCACCTATAATTAGTGCTTCTCACCCCATCCCTACCCCTGGCATTGCCTTTGTCTTCTAATTTCTGGGAAAGTTACTAAAATTTTTTTTACAAAGGGACGCCACATTTACAGCCAATCAGACTATCGCTTTTCTTCTTTGTGGGTGCCATTCAGTGACTCGCAAAACTTCTAGATGGATTCTGGAGCAGTCTGCCATTTCTATTTCAAAAAGATACAGGCAGTCTCTTGATCGATGGGAATACATAGGCTTTAAAATTAGAAAACCAAAGAAGAATGCTTTCAGCTCACCTGGTACATTGCTCTTCACTTAATCACAGCGCTGTGAGGGGTGCTCAGCTGCATGGGCGGAACCAGTGCTCTGTCTTAGCCTTCTAGCACCAAAACTTCAAACATTTGGCCAGTATTTCCCTGAGATGTCGGATCTCTTTCTTATTACCACCATACACCAATATTGATTCTATCTAAAGGGAATTACTTTTAATAAAGTTTTCTTCTAAACCACATGAGAAGATGCTATCTTATTTAACCAAATGGTGTTGATTAAAAGGTTGAAATGAATGCTAAGTGAGCTGCTTTGTTTACTGGTGAAAGCAATTATTTCTTCAGCCCCAGCGTTCCATCTCCACAAATTAATGCTCTTTCCCTATGCTTCATTGACGGGTGGTGAATTATGCAAATATTTTTCCTTCAAGAAATTAGACAAAGTAGTCTCACCACTTCTTATAACAAGACATTATAAATAATGGCAAGTTACAATTTGATTTAAAATACTGTCCTCAATCTAGGTCACCTAAGTTCAAATGTCTTAACCTTTAATCAACTCTATGAAATCAAATTATATTTGTAAGTACATGATTTTTTTAGAGACATGCAGCCATGGTAGTGTTTCCTTTAATAAGAAAGTGATTTTAAGCCATTCTAGAAGTACATGATTTCAATAGTCATCTTCCTTTCCACCACCAGTTCTACTGCCTCCAAGATAGTGATCTCAACCTGACATCATAAATGAAAATAAACATAGATTTGATTCATTAATTCATATAGTCTGCCTTTTTTCACAGTTGGGGTGTGTGTATATTAACAGGTCAAAAGTCAAATCTCAGCATTGTGCAGCTATTAAAAAAAAAAATCAATGAACGCCAAATGACTCAAAGTGGCTCACAACAAAGCCCAAAATTTGCTTGTGCCCTTCTTCCCACAAAAGGAGCGTTTTAAAAGGCAAATTAAACTGAAAAGAACAGATACTACACTTGATCTTAGTCAAAAGGCCGAGAAGCGATTGGTCAATACTCTAATTGCTCCAAAAGCATTTCTGATTAGCAATCTTAACAATGCGCTCGCGCCTTTTCATCCCAATTCCCAGGATTTTGCATTATGTGTCAGCATGACTCAAGAGAAAGACCCAAGTAGGTCCCCACAAGTTGATGGTAACCTTAGATTGTAAGCAGAAGGCTTCTCAGCCCCACGCCATCCCGGCTCACTTGACCTCTGTCTACCCAGAGTAGGAAACGCACTCCGCTGTGCTCAGCAGTGAGGGAATGAAGTGCATCGATTGCTCGTGATTATTAGCTGGAGTGGAATGAGCCTCCTCCTTATTATGCAGATTAGCAGAGCTCCCCATCCCAGCATATTGTGCAGATGCGGGCCTGCAGCTGCTCCTACAGATGGCAAGTACACAACTCCATTAGGTTCGATCTATTGTCTGCTCCTGGCTTGCGGAGGAGCCGGGCCGACTCCGCAGCGAGAGCGGTTCCACGGTGAGATAGAAAGGCACGCACACACTCTTAAAAACCTGCACCCAGGAGACTCTTTACACAGCAGGGCCGACAGCACTCAAATTAGAAATCTACCCTAAATAAGGACTTTCGCATGTCACAATTAAGCTTGTGTATTTTCTAAAGCAGATTAACCATTAAAATTGAGTAGCATAATTCAAGTTTTGCAATGCAACGCTATTAAATATTCAGATTAAAAACAAATCCTAAGAGATTCATTCAGAAATTTGCACTACATTCAGCTCTTCTTGGACCTTCTGTTTTGTTAGTTCCCTTTTAAAGAACCTTTTAAAGAGGCAAGTTTATTTTTCACAATAACAAAATGTGATAAAGACCCGAGCTACCCCTATTATAATGCTTGCCTTAGGATAGTTTGTCCTTCTAGAGTTATTATTTATTCTAAAGAGCATCAAAGCAGTTTATTCACGTTAGTCTAGAGTGAAAGTTCATTTATGAATAAATGTTATTTAAGTGATTAGCAACTAAATAACATGATCTTTCTGCTGCATAATTTTGGATGTGGTATAAAATAATTTGATTACTAACTGAAGCATTTAAGCTGGATAAAGGATTATCTTTGGTTCTTGTTTTTATTTTTAACTGCTGTTTGCCTGGATCTTCCTCTAAAGTTTAACTTGAAAAAGATCCCTGGTCAAGAGAAAAGCTAAGGAACTAGAGCTTTCTGAAGAATGGGAGGGAACTGCCAAAATGTTACAAGCAGTATAATTTAAAGATCTTATCAAAATAAACATATTCTGCTAAGCATGGTCTTTAAGAGCTTAAAAGATTCAAGTTTAGAGGTGAATACACAATAAAAAGAAAAATGGTGACCTACTCACTTATTCGGTTTAATCAATGTAGGCAGTCAAATAAAATAATTTAAATGTATATCAAAAAGATACCTTTATAGAAACAGAGTTGAAACAGCAAGAAGGAGAAAAAAATGTAAATGGATTGTTCCAGAGCCATGCTTTCCAAACTTTTTTACCATTTTCCATGCAAAGAGTTCCATCACAACCCAGTACACACATGAATATCTATGTATGACAAGTTAAAAACCTACCCTTACTACCCAGGACACATTCTGAAGTTTTCTGTTTTATTCAATTCATATTCTCTAATGCTGGTTATGACACTAAATGTATGTTATGGTCATTTTTATGATCTGCAGTTTGAAAAATACTCTTCCAGGATGTAGCCAAGCAAGTAATATTAGAAAGGAAGAAGAAAAGAAAGAGGGAGGGGAGAGGGAGAGAGAAAGAAAGAGAGAAAGAAAGAAAGAAAGAGAGAAAGAGAGAGAGAGAAAGAGAGAGAGAAAAGAAAGAAAGAAAGAAAGACAGTCATTGTGTGAATATCAACATCAGCATTAAATGTGAGCAGTCCCCTACTCCAAATTGCCAAACTCAGACAGAACCAACACTTTGCAGGGAGGCAGAATCAGAGAAAAGCTGCCTCCTTTCTTCAGAATGAATCATAGAGTTAATGGCTAATGGCTGAAAGAAGCACCAGAACCGAATTGAATCGATTTCAGGATATTTGAGGGTGGGGGGTAGGATATGGCTTTATAACTCATGCTAGATATAAGGTAAAATATAACCTAAACCAGATGCACCCTGGGAGATAAAGAGTTAAATAGCACATGATAAATAGGAAAAATAAGGCAGATGAGAATTAGAAAAGTAGAACCTCTGTACTCAAGGCTGAAAATAGATCCTTCTTCCATCCAAGCCTTTGTAGAAAAACAGCCCAAATAACCAAGATCTACAAAATCACAAAGCCCCTCAACATCCAACCACCCTTACTGCAAGAATGCAGGAGGAATATGCTCTGTGAATGCATTAATCAGGAATTCAACAACGCAGGGGAAGCACATGATTACAAAACAGTAAATTTAAAACAGATTGAAATTATGATTTAGCAAAGTGAATGTCTTGTCGATGCATAAAATTTGAATGTAAAGTTCAAGTTGTCCTGGGAATTCATTTCGGTTCAATGTACATTTTGTAATGGAAGGCTCATGAGTCCAGGAACATGATCTATCCGATTTACTACTGTATTCCCAGCACATTCTACCGTGTCTTACACAGAGTAGCCACTCAGTAAAGAGCTGATGACTGAGTATGTCAGTACATATAATACTGTACATGAATAACTGACATGTTACATAAATAATTACATCATAGTACAATGAGTACAAAGATTCAATTATATACAGTACAGAATCAGCAGAGAAAGATTTCTTGGGGAGGTGGGGAGCCACAGAACACTTTGAGATGATTTTGAAGCGTCATCAAGAGAAGGATGGACATACCAACAAAAAAGCAATCAAATGTGCCGAGTCACAGAGGTGTGAAATATCGAGACAACTGCAAGTTGTGCCTCATGGGTAGAAAATTAAGTGTCCAGTAGCTGTGGAGATTGGGGGGTGGGCACAGGGGATAGAAACCAGGCTGGAGAAGGAGGCCAAAGCCAGGTCATAACAGGCCTTGGTAGCATGCCACAGGGGAACCTGAACTTTAAGACACCAGAAAGAGTTTTAAGCAGAAAGGAGACACAGATTTGATTCAAATTTTCTAGATGATATATAAAAAAGTCCACTTAACCTTTACATCAACATGGATGGGACTGGAGGAGATTATGCTAAGTGAAATAAGTCAAGCAGAGAAAGTCAATTATCATATGGTTTCACTTACTTGTGGAACATAAGGAATAGCATGGAGGACATTAGGAGAAGGAAGGGAAAAATAAATGGGGTGAAATCGGAGGGGGAGATGAACCACGAGAGACTATGGACTTTGAGAAACACACTGAGGGTTTTAGAGGGGAGGAGGGTGGGGGTATGGGTTAGCCCGGTGATGGGTATTAAAGAGGGCACGTACTGCATGGAGCACTGGGTGTTATATGAAAACAATGAATCGTGGATCACTACATCAAAAATTAATGATGTATTGTATGGTGACTAACATAACATAATAAAGTAAAATTTTAGAAGTCCACTTATTTATTTCAAACTCTTTAAAATATATTTGTTGTCCTTACTGGCAATCAACAGCCCTGGGGTTCAGCCCTCTCCTGTCTCTTGTGAGGTCTTCTGTAGGACATCAGGAAATGGAAGAGCACTTGTCCTTCCCTCTAGAGAAATCTGGCCATTTATTTCTGGATCTAGAATTCCAGACCGAGTGCAGTACTCCTTTACTTTCCAGAGATAATGGGTGTTGTTTGACTTCCCTTCCCTTCAAACTAAGGCTGCTTGAATGCAGGCCATTGACTGATCACATTTTGACCATTGATTAAGGCAGGTTAAAGATTCCTCCCAGTTTCAGGAATTCACGAATGAACTTTAACTTTAAAACATTTGCTACTGATTTCCTCTAATCATAGCTTTTGCTATCAACCTTAAATTTTCCATGGTACCTCTGCTCAAAATTTTGTGTCTCCCATAATCTTCCCATTCTCCATTTCCATTCATCAAAAATTTTTCCCCCACCATGACACTTAGTCACATTCATTCTTGTTCTATGGTTGGATGTGAACATATTAGTCTCCCCCATGGATTGCAACCCTTGAGGGCAGGAACAAGAGTGATTTATCCTTAATCTCACTCACATCCAAAGCAGCAGGTAAGATAGAAATGAAAATAAATGAAATAGCATATGTGAAATCCCTATGTATAATGCAAATACCGTGAAAGTGACAGTTCTTATTAGATGATTTCACACATGCACATGTGCACACACATGGAGCAAAAAAGAAAAAAAAATTCATTATTTTTCCCATGGACTTGTCTATCCATCTATAGACTCCACTGAGGATCCTTCCTCCTTAATTCCTCCATCATTCTCCTCCCAACAATTCTTTTGCTTTTTTTTTTTACCCCTCCATCCACAACCCAGGGTCTTGGCCAACAGTCTGCCCGTTCAGAGGAGAAGCCCTTGCCAAAGACAACCTACATGTGTGTAGTTGGCTTATGGATTGTGTGTGTGTGTGTAATTAATCAACACATTGAAAATCGGAAGTCACATAAAAATTCAGTTTTGGATTGCTATTGAAATGTGGTGACAATACGCTGGAGATGCATTGTGCCTTCCCCTTTGATTGAAGTGTAGTATCTCCAGCGTGGCAAGCCCCACGTCTCCCTATTGTCTCCTTGATCCTCAGCCAAGGGTCAGTTGCCACATACCATATGTTCATGCTGTTGTTTTCCATACTCTGTGGTATATTTCTTTGATTCTACATTTCTACCAAGAGTGAAAAAAGAAAAACAGGTTGAGAAGACTGCGTGAATTTTCTTATGACAAACCTGCTGCACTCATTTATGTTACTTATGTGGCCACTGGGACATTTGATTTTTAGACCCCCAATACAGAGTATCTGTTTCTGTGAGAGTTTGATCAAGGAAACAGGACCACTGTGAGTGACGTGGAATAGGGGATTTATTATGCAGTTGAGGGAGCTGGGAAAGAAGTTTACACAAATCTGGCAGTGGCCCTAAAACCAACTGCTGT